AATAGCATAGCGAGAATTTAACGGCTGGACGAGCATTCCAAGCGGGAATCGACTAGAGATCCCGCTCACAGAAGTAGCCCCGTCCGTCCGGATATCACAAATATCTGAAAATTACCCCGTCTTGCTGTATGACACTTAGAACGCCGCTCTTAACTAATTGAGGCAGGCGCAAAAAGCTTTCATCACTGAAGCGACAAATAAAGGCTCGAACTTTGAACACAAGTTTGGAGCAGAAACAGATAGTGACATCTATGAAAAAGCACCTATTGGTGCGGACCTTGCTCAAGCAAGAGCAGGTACCTGTACATGACAACCTAACGGGAGAAAGTGTACCATATGTGGTACAAACTATGGCAAGAAGTCTTGAGAACAATCAATTCATCACCCACTGCAAGAAAATGATTGAACAGCAAACAGCATATCTATCTCGCTCGTATCTATCTGTCCTAATGAAGTGATCTAGACTCTAGGCCATACAACAGATCAGATTACAGCATAGAGATCTATCCCAAATTGGACCTTCTATGAAGCAGCGAAAAATATGTGAAGAGGGTCCGAGAAGTCCTTTATCATCTTCTTGCAGAATGCAGAGGGGAAAAATTCAGATTCCTTCTCATTTTTTGCATCGAAATCTTCCAGCACTATGCGAACACGTTTCACGTCGCCTTCCTTCCATATTTCACTATCCTCCATCACAACCACTTCCAATGTGCTCTTCGAAGGACTCGTTATATTTGAAACCCAATCTAACATCACTGTGACTTTTTTATTTCCATCTTGCATTGATGCCGAAGAAACCTGATGAGTTCTCGACGTTGGCACCAACCTATGTGTATGTTTGAAGTGAGCCCCAGCAATATTTTCGATTCCTGGGAAAGTTAATCTCAAGACGACTGCCGCACTGCTCGCATCCTGAAATATCTCCTTCAGCGTAATGTCAACGACACTGTCATGCATAGAGACCTTTCTGTCAACTCTGAGACCTTTTGACTTGAGCACAAAATCGACTTTCGTAGAACCACAGGTGTCAGGACCTTCTTGAATCGGTTCGTGCGAGTCCTGGATTTGGTCATTCTTTGAGAACCATGCCTCCTGAAATGGTGTTGAAATGATCTTATTGGTTCCGGATACACACAATCGTCTTCTAAAACTTGGCTCGGAAACTTCTTGCCGTTCATCATTCCAGCCTAATCCATATTTCTTTGCATATGACCAGCGACACAACCTGCATATCGCCGATGTTCTAGCGAATTCATACCTGACACTAAACCGAGACATGACGCGTTCGTCGCTTCTCCATGTGTGATATGATTCCCACATACTCTTGTTATCCAGTAGTTCCTTTACATGGTTCGCCAATTCATCCCAATTAGAAAAATCACCGGACCACACAAAGGATCCCTCTGGCAAATGGCTACGCATATTCTCCGCACCTACGACCACAGGAACAGATCCAGACGCAATGGCATCCCATATCATAGGTGATATGTGATCCTTTTCTGTGCTGGGGTCGAACGCCAAAACAACGCGGTATTTCTTCATGATTTCTACACGGCCTTCAGAGGTCCCAATGGATATTTCGTGAGGGACTTCTATGTTGTGACCACACAAGCCATAGGAGTCAACTGGAACCACTGCTGACATTGCACTGAAGTACTTATGACGTCTGCTGCCAGGAGTCGAACAGCTTCGATCAACGAGGTAAACTGCCTTATTTCTTGCTGAAAGCCAGTCGATCGAATTTGTGTTTAGGTGGCTATACTGTGACCAATTGAAGAATGTATGTGGGACAGATGATTTGAAAGACTGCGTTGAATAGAAATGGTCCTCTCGGTGTTCTAGCCTTTCTAGTCTCGCATTGCCATTAGAGAACGCATCGGCGTCAGTGAATGTAATAGTCCATTGCTCTCCTGCAACGAACCGCCGTAATCCTTGCATATCCTTTTGCTGCTTGCATGGGACATCACAATGAACTGATTCTAGACTCTCCGGTTCAAAAATATCCTCCAGACTAGATTTAATCACGATCGGGTCCATACCATCTCCAGAAACTGGTGGCTTTGGAACAGTACTTAATCCAACTTCGTAGTCTTCGCACCCAACAGGGACTTCTATCACATCGCCTGACATCACTTCTTGTCCGCACAATATTCGAGGGAACCATGCCGAATTGTATGCAAATAGTGTGGTATTTAGGTCGGAACAATGGGTTTCAGTATGCTTTTTGCCATTCTTGGAGATCGAGCACCGTTTGACTGCGGTCTGAGCCGCTGCAGTCACTACTTTTTCGATAGCGTCAACTTTTTGTTCAACTAGTGCTCTTGCTAGAGGGCGCTGCCTCTCGTTTCTAAAATCGTTTACATATCCCACAACAGTTGGACCTGTACCGTCTCTCTTCAGTACAATATCAGATTTTGAAGACTCGTCATTGGGGATCTCAATGGAACTTGAACCGCCGAGAAAGGACCCAGCGGAATCGCCTTGAAAGCTTTCATCGCTGCGACGAGATTTTATTTTCGCAAATCTCACTTTGCTATTCCTCAGGATTTGATCTATGCCTACTGGCGGAGAACCAGACCCGTACCTCAGCACTTCAGAAGAGCTGTATGATCGAAAGATGAAGAGCATAGACAACGTTGCTGACGCCAAAAGCGCTGTGGTGCAGCAAGTACATATCCTTGGCTTCGATGACCTTTTCCGATGCAATTTGATTTTGACCATCTTGAGTTCAATTGACTTAGGAGCCAACAAAGCTGGTTCTTTCGTCTCAATGAATGGAACTACTTCAATATCTAAAACTGGTTGAGAATATTGGGGGAATTCAAATCTATTAGGCTCAAAAGTAGGTTTTTTATGGGGGACGGACAAACAAGTACTTACTAAGTCTAAAACAGATGAAAATGGAACTTCAGAATCTACCATTTAGAGTTCTCAGAATCCCCCCAAGCAAAGTCACTGTTGATATATCAGGAATCAAGCCAGATTCCTGTGTAGGATTGCGTTGTTTGTCCTGGAAATCCCGTACTATTATTAGTACATACCTTTTAGTACGAAAATCTGTAGGGCCAAAAGTATGATGACTAAAATCTGTAGGGCCGGAAGTATGATTGATTTCCAAGTCTCATAAACAAAACAAACACTACTTCGAAGTCAGTAGAATATATTGTGCTGAGTTGCAGCTCTAGATATGTGGAATGGATACTCGCAGGGCACAGACAGAATGCAGGTGGGGGGACCGATTCAACGTTGAGTTCAAGTGGTAGTGCTGCAAATGCTGTTAGTACTGTACCCGTCAGAATGAAGTTTCGCTTATGTTTTATTGGGAAGTGATAGCCCATATACAGTTCCTTGCCCACTATCAACAATCAGCCTCTTGGAATATATGTTGTTGATCTGAGATGCGTGTTGTTGTTGTTGTTGTTGTTGTTGTTGTTGTTGTTGTTGTTGTTGTTGTTGTTGTTGTTGTTGTTGTTGTTGTTGTTGTTGTTGTTGTTGTTGTTGTTGTTGTTGTTGTTGTTGAAACCCGTTAAAAACACGAGATATTTGAAGCGGGGATTACCATGTTGGAAACGTGAGACAGTCATGTTTGACAGGATTATATCATGTTTGAAGCGGGGATTATCATGTTTGGAACGTGAGACTCCACAGTACTTCACCTTTACAGCTGAATATTTCACCGGCAATCGAATGCCCATAGAGTAGCATCCTAACGATTAATGTCTCAGTCCTTATTATTATTATCACTGTCATGTTTGACAAGATTATCATGTTTGCAGCCGGGAATGTCATACGTGAGACTATCATGTTTGAAGCGGGGAATGTCATTTTGGAAGCGGGGATTGTGAAATGGGGAATGTCTAGCCTGAGCTTTACCTTTGCTTTGGAGATGCTCCATAGCTAAGGATTTCAAGAAGTACATCTATCCGCACGGCCATTAAGTCTGTGAAGACACTCAGCTGTATATATTTCTGACTTCAGTCACAACGAACTATAGTCGTTTTGACTAATAAAACTAGTATTTTGATTATTTTGTGTACGATGCAGTAGGGAATAATGCAAGATGTCCCAAAGTACTGCATTCAACACAGAATTGTCGTAGAAGTCGAATCGAGTTCTGTAAACAAGGGATTTTCCAAGGGAAAATCGTCGAACTCACTTTTGTGATTGAATCATCAATTCAAGCCAAACATTAATCAAATAGGAACAATTTCACTCAAAGTATACCTAGACACAGGAGAACTATTGTCGTGGAAGTGTTGTACAGTCGATTACGAATTTAGATTGCAGAGAGTTTGTTCTGAGCGCTAAAGGCACTCACGATAGAGCACAGTCTGCTTATTTCTAACAATTAGCGGCTTTTCGGTACTATAGTCACTTCCAATTCCTTATAATATTGATGTACCAGCTTGTATAGCAGCGTAGGGTTAATTGTAGACCTTGCAGGTTAGTTTTGTTTCAACTTGATAGCTGCAATAGGAGTCTGAGAGTTGTCTCACAGAATGAAACTGTCTGCTCCCAAGGTGTAGCTATCTTGATAGTTGCTATCACGATCCACAAAGAAGACTGGGATGGCTTGTACTAGATTGGCTTTCTGCTATATTATTGCTAGCTCTTCTTGCCAAATTCTAGTGCTGAATATGTGTGGAAAAGAACAACATCAATATTCCACTTGTATAGGATCTTTCCCTCTTCATGTGGATATAGATTGTCCAGCAGACTTGCGTCGAATTGCTGACATCACGATCAAAATCCAATTGTGCGTGTCAAAACTTTGTACTTGAATAGTTTTTCAAGGAACGTAAAAACTCATATTTCGTCATATCCCAACACACTCCTGCCATTGTGACAATCACCATTGGCAGCAATGGGACATGCTCTCATTCACTGTTTATTTTGTTTTGTATTTTCATTTTGAACATATACATACTTGTCTGACCTAGTCCTGTGGACCAAGAATCAGATCCCTGAACTTGCGAAACTTCTCACCTTGCAATGGCTTAGTCATAAAATCCGCAATCATATTGTCAGTTGGACAGTATTCGATCTTAACATTTCCTTTCTCAACTTGATCTGTGATAAAGAAATAACGAATATTGATAGCTCGGCTTCTTTTGCCTGCGCTCTTGCGACCATTCTCTTCCAGTAGAATTGCACTTTTGTTATCCTTGTTAGAAGTAAGCAATCCACTGCCGCCTGCAATCTACCTGTTCAATTGACTGCGATTTAGCTGTCCAGGTATTGTTGCCTTCTAAGTATGTGAATTTACAGTATATAGCAGTATATAGATCTATTAGAGATCCTACTTTATCAACCAATTCACTCGTTGCTTGTGATATATTTTAAAAAGTGAGAACAATCTGTCAACTTTTGACTTTGACTCTTTCTTCTCCAGCTCAGTGCAAATTCTCAGAATTCTCTCTTTGTCAGCCTGATATGCTGCAAGTTCAACTTGTTTATTTGTTCACCTTCCACTGTAGTTGGTACTTTGATTAGTATCCAACTTTGGGTCTTGGTTGAATCTTACTTTCTATCACAAAAGGCAAAAAAACAAATATATGTTAGAATAAAGCAAAATGTGCTCTATCGTGAGTGCCTTTAGCGCTCAGAACAAACTCTCTGCAATCTAAATTTGTAATCGACTGTACAACACTTTCACGACAATAGTTCTCCTGTGTCTAGGTATACTTTGAGTGAAATTGTTCCTATTTGATTAATGTTTGGCTTGAATTGATGATTCAATCAAAAAAGTGAGTTCAACGATTTTCCCTTGGAAATCCCTTGTTTACAGAACTCGATTCGACTTCTACGACAATTCTGTGTTGAATGCAGTACTTTGGGACATCTTGCATTATTCCCTACTGCATCGTACACAACATCAATATTCCACTTGTACAGGAT